GTTGCAATGTAACAGCTGATTCAAACCAAAGCAGCTGTTGGATTAAAATATGCTCTACAAAGAAGAGTTGCAATGTAACAGCTGATTCAAACCAAAGCAGCTGTTGGATTAAAATATGCTCTGCAAGGAAGAGTTTTAATTTAGCAACTGATTCAAACCACAGCAGTAGTTGTATTAAAACATGCTGTGGGAGGAAGAGTTTTAATCTAGCAATTGATACAAACCACAGCATATGTTGCATTAAAACCTGCAACAATGAATAATTTTAATCTAGCAGTTGATTCAAACCACAGCTGTTGTTGGATTAAAACATGTTGTAAAAGGAAGGGTTTTAATCTAGTAACTGATACAAACCACAGCAGCTGATGGATTAAGATGTGCTCTGGAAGGAAGAGTTTTTATCTAGCAACTGATTCAAACCAGAACTGCTCTTAGATTAAAACATGCTCTGCAGGACGAGTTGTAATCTACCAGCTGCTGCAAACCAAAGCATAGTGGATTAAAACCTGCACTGCAAGGAAGAATTTTAATCTGCCAATTTAGAGCACACAGCACAGCAGCTGTTGGATTAAAATGTGCTGTAGAAGGAAGAGTTCTATTTCGTATAGGCTTCGCCCTTTAAGGCTGTCGCTTGAGGGTTTTTTCCCGTCGTGCAAAGCGTCACACAGAAAAATTTAGTCCACGCCCACCTGTCGTGTGGGCCCCACCCGGTCCATATAAATTACGTTGAGAGCGGGTAATCGGCTCCCATTTTTCTTCAGCAAGCAATTAGCACTGATCTTGCAACAACGCGATGTCCAGCACCAACACCATCCGCCTGTGCCCATCCTGCAAGACCGGCTACATGCTGAGCTTCGACCGGCACGACACCTGCGAAGGATGCCTAGGTCCCCGCCACGCCAACCTCGCCTCCTCCTGCCGCCTTTGTGACCTCCTCCCCCCTTAGGAGAGGCAGAGGCGAGCAACCTTGTTTAGGGCTAACATCGAGGAGTGCCCCTCCATGGCGGGGAACTGCTCGCTGGACGACGCCATCGACTTTTTTGACACCGGGTCTTGGAGCGAATCGGATGGTTCCTCTGGGACAGGCGACGTCAGCAGCAACCCCACTGCTCATTCCCTCCCAGAGAGCATAGTGTTGGAACGGGTGGGGCCGAGCAGATGCTCACCCCTCCCGGACTTTTCCGCATCAGCGACCACACCGCTCCCAGCCGTCAGTGCCCTCCTCTCGGAGCTGCCCAGAATAATCCAGGAGGCGGCTGACATGAAGGGACTTTCCGTCCTTCTCCTCCCCCCGCCCAGATCGGATGATCTAGCGGGAAGGTTTGGCTCCACCCTGGCTCGCCGCCCTGACCCCATCTGGCCTCGTTTCCCAGCAGTGACGTCCTACTGAAACGATGCTGCGGACGTACCTGGTAAATTGAGAGCACCCGTCTCTACCTTCGCTCCCATCACCAGAGTGGAGGGGTTTACTGAGCGGAATTTTCCCTCGGTACCCCCCCTGGAGCTAAGCCTGGCGGAAGCTCTCAGAGCAAAAGTGTCCAGGTTGGACCAGCGTCCAGTTCCTCCGGGGAAGCACGACCAAACGGTGACGTCACTCTCCAACCGAGTTCACCAGTGTGCGTTCCAGGTGGCCACAGCAAACAACAATGTCGCTCTGCTGGTCTACAGCATCTTAAAGAGGCTGGAGGAAACAAAACTGCCTGAGGAGACAAAGAGCTCTCTCTGCAAGGCATCTGACGTCATCCTCTACCTGTGCGCCTCCTCCACTGTCTGCCTGTCTCGCATCGCCGCCTGGATGACAATGATCCAGAGGTCCACCTGGCTTCGACACTCCCCCTCCCTGCCGATGAAACTACAGAAGGACCTGCTGGAGGGCCCCATCACGATGGACGCGCTGTTTGGAGCCAATTTCAAGGCTGTGCTGGAAAAATCGAAGAAGTCGGAGGAGGTGTCGGAGACTGTGCGCCACCTGATGAAGCCGCACTCCTCCTCCCACCCCCCGCCCACTGGAAGGATTGTCGCGGCCAGAGGCAGCAGCAGAGACGCTCCACAGCTGCAGCAGCGTCCTCCCGCCCCGCCACCAGCCCCTCCCGCCAGAGAACAGTCCTTCTCATCCCGGCAACCAGCGGCTCAGCATTTCCCCAGAGATCACCAACAGGCGTCGCCCTGGAACAACCAGCCGCAGGGCTCACGGGGGAGAAGATTTAAGAAACGACTCCTTGCGGAGGATGTGTGTGTATGCAATGATGACACGAGTTTTGAAATAAAATGAAAACATCATTCTGATAATAAAGTGTCTGATCTCAGCCTGACTGTCAGTTCAAATGATCTCACAGTGGCTTCTCTGCACACATCCTCCACACAAAATGAGCCAGTGTCCTCAAAACAGGTTTTTAAAAGTCACCGCAGCTCGAGAAAACACACAGAATGCTCGCTTGATACAGCAGCAAAAAATTAATGTTTTCAGCAGACCGAGCCCAGGAGAAAACCTCGCTCTCAGCCCAGGGTGTTTTCTGCCTCTTCTGACCGCAGCGAAGACAAACGTGTTTCCTCATGGCAGCTGCAGCCTCCACCCAAACGACGCCGCACTGCTGAAGGTGCGCATGCCTCCCCTCAGCGCATGTTAGTTCACATTAACCCTGATGTGAGCCCGCAGCCTAAGCGTGGCACGAAAGCGCCTCCAGGGCCCTTTCGAAAAGGCCTCGCCTTGGGTCACTCGGAGCACGTCTCCGCAGCACATGACGGCGGTGTAGGCCCAGACTTGGCTGGCGTCCGTAAAATACATGACACAACGCAAAAACGCGTGCCCGCTCCCAGAGCGTTAAGTGGAGTGGCAGCGAGCATGCTCCCTGAACAGCTGGATGAATCATCTTATCAGCAAGTGTTACACGCTGCAGTTCGCAGCTCAACCCCCACCATTCAGAGGGATTATAGAGACGGTTCTGTCATCTTTAGAACAGATCTCATCTCTTCCTGCAGAAGTTCAGGAACTACTGGTAAAACATTTAATTTTTAGGGTTCCCAACGGAGAGGAAAACGCAGGGTTTTACTCACGTTACTTCCTGGTTTCGAAACAGACCGGAGGGATGAGACCCATCTTAGATTTATCCATTTTCAAGAAGTCTATTATGGAGAGACAGTTTCACATGTTGACAACCAGACAGCTGTTGAACAACATTCACCAGAACGACTGGTTTACCTCCATCGATCTCAAAGATGCTTATTTTCACATTCCAATCATTCCAAAGCACAGAAAGTTCCTGTGCTTCTCCTTCCAAGGGACCCAGTACCAATACAACAGGCTTCCGTTCGGTTACTCCCTCGCACCACGCACGTTTTCAAAATGCGTGGAGACGGCCCTGCTGCCACTACACAGAGCAGGGATGAGAATTCTGTTTTACCTGGACGATCTGCTGTTGCTGACCAGACCCGGGCAGGAAGCAGCGGCACAAACCAAAGCGCTGACGTCACACCTGTTAAATCTCGGCTTCACCATAAACTGGGAGAAGAGCTCAATTCTCCCGGCCCAGATGGTCGTTTATTTGGGAGTGGAGCTAAACTCTGTCACTATGAGGGCCCGTTTATCACAAACAAGAGCCGGAACTCTAAAAGACCAGCTCCGCCACGTAAAACCCGGCAGAGTAGTGACAGCGGTCTCCATCATGAAACTGTTAGGAACAATGTTGTCAGCTCAGGCGGTGGTCCCGCTGGGCTTACTTCACATGAGAAGTCTCCAGAGGTGGTTCGCTCGTCTGCGCATAGATCTAGTAAGGCAGAAGAGGCGGATGATCTCTGTGCCCCCCTCCGTGGGAACCAACCTGAAACATTGGGGAAACCCTCTCACGCTGTCGGAAGGAGTCCCTGTCAGCAGACCTATGTCACACGTCTCAGTTTTCACAGACGCGTCCCTGTCAGGTTGGGGAGGAACTTGCCTGTCGTGAGCGGTGGGGGCGCTGTGGCCACCTCACACATCAGCTCATATGAATGTTTTGGAATGTCGCACGGTTTTGAATGTGATTCAACATTTTACTCCTGTGTTTTAGAATCAGCACGTTCTGATCCACACAGACAACAAGGTGACTGCTGCATAAACCGGCAGGGGTGTGTGCGCTCAGCCCAAATGTTACACATTGCGAGACAGCTGCTGTGTTGGGCACACAAACACCTGCTCTCCATCAGAGCAGTGTACATCCCTGGCGTCCTGAACAGAGGAGCGGACATAATGTCCAGGGGCAGTCTGCGCCATGGGGACTGGAGTCTCCATCCCGAGCTGATTTCTCAGATGTGGGGGAAATTTGGCAGAGCAGAAGTGGACCTATTTGCCACACGGGAGAACGCCCAGTGCCAACAATGGTTCTCACTGAGCCCACGGGATGATCTACTGTTAGGAGTGGATGCATTTGCCCACAGTCCATGCCCAACATGCTCCTTTACGCTTTTCCCCCAGTCCCTCTAATATCACGGTGTCTGAACCGAGTTTAGGAGGAAGAACTGTCTGCCATTCTGATAGCCCCCAAGCGCGTGAGCGCCCTGTGGTTTCCAATCCTGCGACGCCTGTTATCGGGTCGTCCGTGGAAACTGCCGTGGAGGGACAATGCTCTCCTCCAGGCGGGATGAGCGATCAGGAGCCACCCAGAAATAGGCCAGCATCTTTGGGTCTGGCCGCTGAGCAGATCCACTTAGAGAAGATGGGTCTCTCTCAAGAAGTAGTGCGCACAATCCATGATTCACGCGCTGCCTCCACCACAGCGCTGTACACATCAAAGTGGATAGCTTTTCAATGCTGGTGTGCGGAAAAAGGTGTAGAGGCCATCTCATGTCCACTAGGTGGCGTGCTGTCCTTTCTGCAGCAGCTGATGGACAGAAATCTGGCGTTCAGCACAATTAAAATGTATGCTGCAGCCATCTCTTCCTGTCACGAAGGCTTCGGTGACAGAAAAGTTTTTAATCACCCGCTGATGAAGCATTTTCTGAAAGGTGTTCAGAGACACAAACCGGTGTCACGTCCACTAGCTCCATAGTGGGACTTAACGATGGTTTTGCGAGCCCTGATCAAAGCTCCTTTCGAGCCGTTAGATCAGGTTTCGATTATATTCTTGTCACTTAAAACAGCCCTGCTGTTGGCTTTTACATCTGCAAAGAGAGTGAGTGATTTATCTGCCTTCTTTGTTGCTCCGTCATGCCTCAGGATTCAGGCTGACGGTAGTTCAGCTGATCTGAGACCTAACCCAGCGTTCATGCCTAAAAACATCACGAGCTCATTTAAATTGAGAATGATAACGTTGGAGGGTTTTTTTCCCTCCTCCCCACAAATCAGAAGAAGAAGCATCTTTTCATCTCCTCTGTCCTGTGCATGCGTTGGCATGTTACGTAGCACGCACGGCCACACTGCGTCAGACTCAACATTTGTTTGTGCATTATAGAGATGCCTCTGCAGGTCGCCTGTTATCCACCCAGCGCCTGTCACACTGGCTGTGTGAGGCCATTTCTGTAGCTTACAGAGCATCAGGTTTAGAGCCCCCTGACAACCTCAGGGTGCACTCGACCAGAGGAATCGCATCCTCGACAGCCTTGCATAATGGTATGACAATGCAGGATATTTGCACTGCGGCCGCGTGGTCATCACCCTGCTCATTCATTTGCTTCTATCTGCGTGATGTGTCGGCTCGCTCCATGACGCATTCTGTCCTCAATACCTTAACAGAATGAATCTCATTGTTTTCATGGAACTTTGTTTAAACTCACATGTGACTGCATGCAATTACAGTGTGAGATATTTGTTATCAGTCACAAGTTCGTGATTGTTGGTTCTTGTTCTAATGTCACTAATCAGTTCATGACTACTGTTACCAATCAGTTCATTTGATTACTAATCAGTTCAGTTATTATGAAACTGTTCACTGTTTTTCAGCCTCTCCCCTTTTCCCGTCGAGAACTTTTTTCTCCGGGGCGCCCATGTACACGGAATGTGTAAAGTACGCAGTGCGCGTCTGTACATGGTGCGCGTAATTACGCAGCACGTATTTACGCACATGGAGGGCTGAATGATAAAATGTTTTTTGGTGCAAGCGGGCGCTTCATACGGTATTCAAATGAACCCAGTGAGACAGAGACTACATCCTGCTTCGCCGATAACCCACGAGTGACAGCCTTAAAGGGCGAAGCCTATACAAAATAGAACATTGTTTACATACTGTAACCCCAGATTCTATGAGTATAGGTGTAGCCCTTTAAGCTCTGGGCCTCACTGGCTCCTAAATGGCTGAAGAAAAAGCTATTTGGGAGCCGATTACCTGCTGTCAACGTAAATTATACGGACCGGGTGGGGCCCACACGACAGGTGGGCATGGACTAAATTTTTCAGTGCGACACTTTGCGTGACGGGATAAAACCCACAAGCGACAGCCTTAAAGGGCTACGCCTATACATATATATATATATATATATATATATATATATATATATATATATATATATATATATGGGGGGGGGGGCTTCTGAGGTTGGGTTCTGTTTATTGCATTTATGATTCAATGCAATTAAACAAACAAATGTAAAAGATAACAGATCATTGTAAAACTTGGTTCATTTACATAATGACTTTAATCGCTGGATGTCCGGCCCCTGAGCTGCTGACTCTCAGTAACTGTGGGCCCCTGATCAGTTGTGTTGGACAGTCCTGCTCTAGTGTTTCCAGACTGTTACATTTTGTATTTTCCTAAAAGTAAGAATCTGTCAGAGCTGCTGCAAACAGCAGATTAACAGCAGGTATTTAATACTGTTTGTACCAAAAGCTGCATGTATTAATGCCCTGTCTGCAACAGGGTTGATGTTCTGTGTAATAATTTCACAATCTGAACACAGTGACTTCATCTAACAAAGTAAAGTCAGGTCTTCTGGACAGATTATTCTTGTTGAACAAGAAGAATCTGACTTTACTTGGTTAGATTACATACAGGGAGGAGACAATGACTTCTTTTCTTAGAGAGTTAGAAAACATGTTCTGCAGAAACTGATAGTAAAACTTGCAAAAACAGTAAATTATTGGTAATTTACATCATAAAGTCTCAAGAGCCTTACAAGACTCTGAAAATTAGAGTTAGTAAAAGTTTGTGTTTCCTAATGAAACATGTAGTTTAGTTTAACCTTTAACCCTGCCTCTCATATCATCTCACCTAAAATAAATAATGTGTTATTCTTCATGGAAAACTTGCAGAATTGTTGATCGTTAAAGCCACATGTCGACTATGAGTTTTTGGGGGGTTTATTGTGTATACAGTATTTATGTATTTAAATATCACTTCTACATTCTTTATTTTATTGTTTTATTGTGCAGAACGTTTAGATTTTTACAATACGTGATGCATAAATCAACGTTACATGTTGATCACGTTCCATCTCTTGTGCCGGCTGAAGCTATGCCCGCAGCTACTGTGGACCACAGCCAAAGAATATGTGAGGTTTGGGCCAACAACCTGGAGGAGGAGCTGAAGAGGATCCGACAAGTCATCCCAAAATACAACTACATCGCCATGGTGAGTGGAGCAGACCTTCACCTGTCCAGGTACTGCCCAGGTCCGCCAGAGTTCATGTCTTCTTGCAGGACACAGAGTTTCCAGGTGTTGTAGCGAGACCAATCGGAGAGTTCAGAAGCAACGCTGACTACCAATACCAGCTGCTGCGCTGCAATGTGGACCTGCTGAAGATCATCCAGCTGGGCCTCACCTTCATGAACGAGCAAGGAGAGTATCCACCTGGAACATCCACGTGGCAGTTCAATTTCAAGTTTAACCTCACGTAAGACCTGCCTCTCCATCCTGTTGTTTAAACCGTACACTTATCTTATTGTTAGCAAAATATCTGTTGAACTGCTGCACAGACTTCCTGTCAGAACGTAACCGTTCGATGTGCTTTACAGCTCGTACTTTAGATGTCAGCCCATTTCAAGATGGCTGCACAGCTAACTTTGAAGAGGCTTAAATGAGCCAGTTTGCTCACACATGGCCAGACTGTGGTAGTAGATGAGAATGATGGTCAACACACACTCTGAGAACTGGTCCTGCAGGGTCTCTGAGTGGCGAGCCACAGGAGAACGTGCTGGTTTCATGTTCCAGTAGTGCTTTTATATTTCACAGAAGAAAATGTTTGTTAAACTGTTATTGAAGCATTTTATAGATTCAGTCAAGCAATCATCTAAAATGTATTTAATAGCTTTATAGTTTTTGATTATCCGCCCTTTTTGGAGTCCTTGGAGGGGGTACTGGAAAGTGCACCTCCTGGGGACTCCCTTGTCCTGCTGGGGGACTTCAATGCTCACGTGGGCAATGACAGTGAGACCTGGAGGGGTGTGGTCGGGAGGAACGGCCCCCCTGATTTGAACCCGAGTGGTGTTCTGTTGTTGGACTTCTGTGCTCGTCATGGATTGTCCATAACGAACACCATGTTCAAGAATAAGGGTGTCCATATGTGCTCTTGGCACCAGGACACCCTAGGCCGCAGTTCGATGATCGACTTTGTCATTGTCTCATCTGATCTGCGGCCACATGTCTTGGACACTCGGGTGAAGAGAGGGGCGGAGCTGTCCACTGATCACTACTTGGTGGTGAGTTGGCTCCGATGGTGGGGAGGATGCCGGTCAGACCTGGCAGACCCAAACGTATTGTGAGGGTTTGCTGGGAACGTCTGGCAGAGTCTCCTGTGAGACGGAGCTTTTAACTCCCACCTCCGGGAGAACTTCGAACATGTTCCGGGGGAGGTGGGGGACATTGAGTCCGAGTGGACCATGTTTCATGCCTCTATTGTCGAGGCGGCTTACCGGAGCTGCGGCTGCAAGGTTGTCGGTGCCTGTCGCGGCGGTAACCCTCGAACCCGATGGTGGAAACCGTCGGTGAGGGATGCTGTCAGGCTGAAGAAGGAGTCCTATCGGGCCTTTTTGGCCTGTGGGACCCCGGAAGCAGCTGATAGGTACCGGCAGTCCAAGCGACATGCGGCTCGGGTGGTCGCTGAGGCAAAAACTCGGGCATGAGAGGAGTTCGGAGAGTACATGGAGAATGACTTCCGCATAGGCTTAGGCTGCTACCCCCATGACCCGACCCCGGATAAGCGGAAGAAGATGGATGGATGGATGGATGGATGGATGGATAGTTTTTGTATTTCACACTTTAAATTTAGTGTCAGACCTGTGTAGCCCACAGCTAAGACACCCAGATTTATTGTTTTCAGAGTGGTTGAGCTGAAGCTCAGCTGGCTGCAGAGCTACAGTCTGCAGATGGAAACTTTCAATAAAAATTTAAAGGTTTAGGACTCAGCAGCTCCACCAGAACAGATGTTTGTGATGTTTACTGTCGGTTATTAATGAACATGTTGGTGGTTCTGACCAGAACATTGTGGGTTTTCTTCCCTTCAGAGAAGACATGTATGCTCAGGACTCCATCGAGCTTCTGACCACTTCAGGGATTCAGTTCAAGAAGCACGAGGACGAAGGCATCGAGACGCTTCACTTTGCAGAGCTGCTCATGACCTCTGGAGTGGTGCTGTGCGACGGAGTCAAGTGGCTGTCGTTCCACAGGTAACATGCACAGCTCATGCACAGTAACCACAAACGCACTGCATCACAGAGGATTCACTGCTTAAATTGTACTCCATTAACGGTACAAGTAAAAAAATACATAAGTAAACGTACAAAGTATTCTTCTCAAAAACTACTCAGAGTATTACTTACTTTTTAACCAATGGATGTTTTATTGTGTTGTCAGTAGAAGGCATTCAATTTGATTTACTGTAAGATCTTTGCATACTTAGTTAAATAACCCACACATACAAACAATAAAAAAGCAATATCATACAGGTGTAAAACCTTGTATACCACAATGTGTTTTTTGAGATTAGATGCTGAAGTCTTGTAAGCTGCTATCACCATAGAGATCAAAGTTTGCATCTGGACACCGTCTCCTTTTTCGCCCTCTGTACATGAAAAATTCCTCCAGGTACGGCCACGGGCACTCGTCCTCAGCCTTTACCTAATTATTTTCTCTGTTGACAGTGTTGTCTTCTGTCTCCATTTTGGCTTTTTCTCCCAAATCTTCGGTACATAAATGACTCTCTACTCTACGAAGTTGTCCTTTGCTTACGTCATAGGTAATTGGAGCGTTCTTGATCTGAGAGCCTTATTGGCTACAAAGATGCAGATGAACAGTTTGAATATTAATTCAAATTGTGGCTGTACTCAGTAGCAATTTCTGGTTTTAAAATTAGCACAGCAACTGGAGTGTTATGGTATCAGGAGAGTGGTTTTACTTTGGATGAAAAGTTATTTAAGTAACAGGCAACAAATTGTGAAAATGGGTGACTTTCAATCATCATGTTGGGACATTGTTTGTGGTGTCCCCCAGGGGGTCAGTATTGGGACCGAAACTTTTTATTCTATACATAAATGACATGCAAGGTCTCAAAAATACTACAGTTTGTTTTGTTTGCAGATGATACAAATATTTTCTGTGAAGGGGAGAATTTACAGCAGCTTGTGGAGGAAATCAACTCAGAGTTGAACAAATTAAAAAAGAGGTTTGATATAAATAAATTATCATTAAATTTGGACAAAAGTAAGTTTATGTTGTTTGGAAATCGTAAAGGAAATAATTATTTAAAAGTAGGAATAGAGGGTATATATGTAGACAGAGTTAATTAAATAAAGTTTCGGGGTGTGATGATCGACCACAAGATCTGCTGGAAACCTCACGTTCAATATGTTCAAGCTAAAGTATCAAGAAGTATCTTGGTCCTTAGTAAAGCTAGATACTTATTGAATAATAAAGCATTACATATTGTATATTGCTCACTTATCTTGCCATGTTTGAATCATTGTGTGGAAGTTTGGGGAAACACCTGCAAATCCTAACTTTGACCATTCTGCACACCAGAAAAGAGCCATCAGAATGATTCATAAAGCAGGTTTCCAGGACCACACTAATGAGTTATTTATAAACTCCTGCTTATTAAAACTACCAGAGCTGGTAAAATTTCATACAGCACAGCTGATGTATAAAGCTAGAAGTAAACTACTACCAGATAAGATACAGAAACTCTTCACTGAAAGAGAGGGGGGTTATGATTACAGGGGAAACCTTAACTTCAGAACCAGAAGTGTTCGAACAGCCATGAAAAGAACGTGCACTTCAGTCGATGGTGTAAGGGTCTGGAATAAACTCAGCCAAGAACTGAAGTGATGTCCAACCATGAGGTTGTTTAAGAAAAGGCTCAGACTGACGATCTTCAACAAGTATAGGGATGAGGATCTGAGGTGAACCTGACTGGGTGTCTCTAACGTTGTAAATAGGATTGTACATATGAGTAAATGGTAAATGGACTGTACTTATATAGCACCTTTTTATCTTATTTCAAGATACTCAAAGCACTTTACACTACAATCTGTGTCCTCATTTACCCATTCATACAGCACTCTACTAGATCTCTAAAAAGCTAATTGAACAAATAATTCTAATGAGACTAATCAGTGCTTTAGGTCACATTGATTCACTGATGGGACACACATCAGAGGCTATGAGGGGTTCAGTGTCTTGCCCAGGGACACTTCGGCATGTGACTGCTGGTGGATTCGAATCCCCAACTCTTGCATTGGAGGACGACTGCTCTAACCACTCAGCCACAGCCACCCCAATATATATATATGTGGGGATAGATCAGGTTGTACTGGGGAGGTGGTTGGAATTGTGGGTGTGTAAATGTGTATATGAGAGTGTGTAGTTGGAGGTGAATGACTTTGAGTGTGGGTTTACAACTCTAGAATTTACCATTGGAGTAATGTTGGATTACTTCTGTGTTGTTTTGTATGTGCATATATATATATATATATATATATATATATATATATATATATATATATATATATTGTGCATATATATATATATATTATCGTTGTTTTTCTTTTTCTTTTTTCTCTTCCTCTCATGGACTCATAAGACTCAGAAAATCAAATGGGTGTAATGTGTAACTATTGAGTATTGGAGAAGGGGTAGGATTAAATAAGTTTGACTTCTTCCTACCCCTTTTCAGACATGTTAAATGGGATCTGTGTCTGCGCATGTATATGGGTATGTGTACATGGATAAGTCAATGGTTTTGACATGTCTGGAATGAATAAAATAAATAAAATAAAATAGGTAATGTCCGCCCCACTAATATTGTTGCTCCGGAGCTGCCACCGTGTAGCTTCTAAACTTTGTTGGGTTATTTGTGTGTTTTTCAGTGGCTATGACTTTGGATACCTGATCAAGATTCTGTCCAACGCCAACCTACCTGAGGAGGAAGTGGATTTCTTCGAGATTCTCCGCCTGTACTTCCCAGTCATTTATGATGTGAAGTATCTGATGAAGAGCTGTAAAAACCTGAAGGTGCTTCTTTGCTCTTTTTCACTGCAGGCAAGGGGCAGATCAGGCTGAAAAAACTATTTTGTTTGTTACCAGCAGTCACATTTATTATGCAACAAAGCAACACAAGCTTTTATTATAATACTTGCTGCATTTCGACATGTGGATTTGCACCAATGGGTGATGTGTATCTTCTTTTTTAACAAACACGTACAGTGGAGACAATAAGTATTTGATACTCTGCAGATTTGACAAGTTTTCCACCTACAATGCTGGAGAGTTCTATATTTTTTATTGTAGGTACACATCAACTGTGAGAGACTGAATCTAAGAAAAAACTCCAGAAAATCACATTGTATGATTTTTAAATAATTTGCATTTTATTGCATGAAATAAGTTTTTGGTCCAATAGAAAAAACTGAACTTAATATCTGATCCAGAAACCTTTGTTTGCAGTTACAGAGATCAGAGGTTTCCTGTAGGTCTTGACCAGGTTTCCACCCACAGCAGCAGGGATTTGGGCCCACTCCTCCACACAGATCTTCTCCAGATCTTTCAGGTTTCAGGCCTGTCAATGGGCAACATTGAGTTTCAGCTCCTTCCAAAGATTTTCTATTGGGTTCAGGTCTGGAGACTGGTTAGGCCCCTCCAGGACCTTGACATGCTTCTTACGGAGCCTTAGTTGCCCTGGTTGTGTGTTTCAGGTCAGTCATGCTGGAAAACCCAGCCATGACCCATCTTCAATGTTCTTATGAAGGGGAGGAGGTTGTTGACCAAAATCTCATGATACATGACCCCATCCATCCTCCCGTCAATACGGTGCTGTCGTCCTGTCCTTTGCAGAAAAGCACCCCAAAGTATCTTGTTTCCAACCCCACGCTTCACGGTTGGGACAGTGTTCTTGGGTTGTACTCATCCATCTTTTTCCTCCAAACACGGCGAGTGGAGTTGATACCAAAAAGCTTTATTTTGGTTTCAACTGACCACAAGACCTTCTCCCATGCCTCCTCTGGATCATTGCATTGTCTTATTTCAATTCTATTTAACTTGTTTTTACTGTGTGTATAATATTGTCTGTTTTTATGATTGACAATGTAATGTCACCTTGAGTGCCAAGAAAGGCGCCTACAAAATAAAATGTATTATTATTATTATTATTATTATTATTATTATTATTATTATTATTA